AGAGTGTGATATGTGCAATCTCATAACATCTTCAAAGGAGGAAAAGCTGCATTTGGCGTGGAAGCGGGTACAGTAAAAACACATCTGTTTGGGATGCTGCTATCAAAGCAGGAGAGTTTCCTTTATTAAAAATGTACAAAGGGCTGCACTATCGGAAGGAATTGAAGCAAACAGTTTTCTTCATGCCTAGATTTATTTTTCATCCCCTCCAGCTAAGGGATGGGACTCAAGTAGGATAAATGAGGCTAGTGGTTCGTTCCAAGTGCATTTCACTGAGACTGCAGAACAGGACACTGAGCTTTTCATCTCTGCATGGCCCTTCCTTTGGTTTTGCACCACTGAATGGTCTTGCCACCGAACGCCTGATGGCTTCTGTGCCGTGAGTTGGTTAATGGGTCATACTTCAGCTCACAGAATAGGTCTGGAAGGGGTCTCATCCAGTCTAACCACAAGCACAGATGCAGGGATTCCTAAATGTCTCAATACAGATGCCTATCCAAATTTTATTTGGAAATATCCAATGAAGGAGGTTCTACAAATTACTGAGGAGGCCTATTCTATTGCTTTGCTGTGTGTACACTTAGGAAAGTTCCACCTCTTTCATCCCCAAATGTAATTTAAATCGGGGCTGCTGCAGTTTAATCCCAGCTGTCCCGCCCCTTCTTTTGCCATTGCCTGCAGGTATTGACACTGAACATGAGACTCATCAGCCATGGGCTCTGAACTGCATTAGGTAAAGGTTGTCTTAGCTCTGGAGACGGTGTCTCTAGGTCTTTGTTGAGGCACATAGTGTTATGAACCCTGCTGCAGCAATCATGAACATCTTCTGCATGTCATGGCAATATGGTTCCCATTGCTGGCTCCTATCATGGGAACAAACTAAGTCATTGGAAGGGCATGTGTATACTTGATAATATTTCCATGGAAACACTTGAATACACCCTGTTTTTAGATAAAACTTCAGCTTCTAACTGCACCTGAATTAGCCTGCCCATCTATAAACCAAGAGGCCTACAAAACAGGCTTTCCTAAAGCCAACTCATTATTACCAACTCAAGATTAATAGCAGTGGAAAGGCTCTGTGCATGTCATCCATTTTAAACGAGTGCCTTCTTACCATCCCAGTAACCACAGCCCTATAGAGGAAGCAATAGCCACCAAAATCCTAAAGTAGAGAAACTTAAAAACAGCTGACAGTCCCCACAATTGACAGGTTAAATCAGGCATTACATTTCTGCTATTAAACTTGCCGGGAGGAAAAAGTTCCCTGACCAAGCGAGAAAAGGGCATTTGCTGCGTGTTAGCAATTCAGAGAGTGTTGGCCTTTAGCCCTTCAGAGAGACCCAATCAAATTCGTGTGCATAATGTTGTTTTTTCTCTCGTCTTTGGAAAGACACAAAGGGCAGGTGGTAGAACTGCATGTTAATGTATAATCCACGATGAAGAGCTGCAGAGTGGGAAACTTTTTATGGCTCTTATAGTCAGATCCATAGACATCCCCTAAAAGGGGTAATTACAGATCAGTACTAGCACCGCTAGGTGTACAAACACCTACACATGATTCACAAGAGAAACCCAGGGATTTCAAATAGGGATCCATAGTGTCAAACACATCCTGACCTGTGTTGTTCCTTTCTGAGTAGGGGGAACAGGGGAATTGCTCTATTATTTTTTCCATTGTATAAAAAAGAGTGAAACTTAAGAAGTGGCTTTTTCTGAGAGGTGCCTTGATTCTCACAAGGGATGCCTAGAGCCTGAAAAAGGATGAGAACCACTGTCATAGATACTGCCATTTAGAAGAAAAGTTTCTCTTCTCTTTGTTTCTCAGCGTGAGGGTTACTTGTCTCTTTTTTAGGAAGGCTCATCTTTATTGATGGTGCTTCCCTATCCAGTCCCCTTCATGGAGTAGTGAGGGGTTTCACTGTAGTATTTATCCAGTTGAAATATGCAGCAATTATTGTGTTGTCAGGATGAATCAGGGGCGTATCATTTGGTGCTGGAGTTCCTTGCGGCAGGTCTGCTTCTGTTGATACATCAGCCTGGTGATATATTGGGCAGAGAACAGAAAATGGCATAAAATGAATGTAAACTACTTACACAAGGAAAAGCAGCCCAGGATAATTGGGTTCTCAGAAAGCTATGAGCTCTGATCAGGCATCCTCATGAGGCATTGTGCCTCTTTGCTTTGCAAGGTTATCGTGTGTGGTTAGCCTGCAGGCTTTTCTCCTGCTAGGTTAGACAATGGGGTTTACTCCAAGTTTGCTTTTGTAAGCCAAGGGTGGGAAGATACCAGTAAAAAGGAGAGAGAGCCAAGGCTGGTACCTGCAGATTTGGTGGAACAGGGGAGAAGGGATTGGGCTAAAAAGAAATCCCAATGGTGGCACTGCAGCTCAAAGAGATATTTAACCACAGGACTTCTCCAAAATAAAGCCTTCACGAGTGGATAGGACACACTTAGAGTGTATTTAGCCTGGGTGATTTGCAGTTCATAGGCGAAAGTGAGCCTTGTAGACTGCAGTTCATAGGCCAAAGTCAGCTTTGTTCTCACTTCTCCATCTGTGTCCCTAACTAGGTCTGAGACAACCCTCTGTAGGGTCTGGAAAGGGATTCAGTCTTTCTCCCCATTTGATTCTTAAATTCCTTTCCCAGAACTTGAGCTAAGTCTGACCTAGGCACAGATCCTTGAGGATCTGGATTGGGACCCCCCTAAAACCTTTCACACTACCACTGGATGGCAAGTCTAAGGAACAACAGCTTAGGGACTTAGGTTTCACAGATCTTCCCGAGCCTAATGCCCCATTGGGCTAGCAGTTTCTGTAGCCAATGGCACAATAAGGAAGCAATGGGTCTAGCATTGAATCCTGTCATTTTTGGCTCTCCAGCCTAAATGGCCAGGTACCCATTTTACAGCTGGGTCATTTGGGAGCAGCCTTCAGTGCAAGTGGGGATAAATTCATGGCACTGGAGGTGCAGTGAGTTGACTTCGCCTACATCTAGGCCACTGAAGTGCTTTGGTAGAGCAGTAATGGTAAAGGGAATCCACTCCCCATTCTAGCTGGCTTCAGCTACAACATCCAGACTCAATTAGTCATCAACAACCTTTGTGTGTAGCACAGCTAGCACAAGGATTCATCTGCCCCCTCCCGTCTGTTTAACATGCTGTTTCGTATTCATGGTCATAAGCTGAAATCTAACATTTTCTACTGGCTGATACAATGCACAACCGATGCATGGAATTTATTGCCATATTTCATGCACTTGCACTGCTTGCATATGTAGTACAGGTCCGTGTCAGAGGTCAAGCTAAATGAGTCCAGAGAAAAGCTATTGCGATTGTTACATCCTACTTAGATTCAGTCTACAGTCTGTGAGGTTTAAATTGCTGCTTGCATATTCTTTCTTCTTAAGACTTGTATCCATCATCATGGATCTTAGAACATGATCATGTAAAAAATCAGAAAGAAGAGTATTCAGTGAATTAATTGTCATAGTCATTTCACTAGTGCTCATGAAATTGCCTTTTACTTTCCCTGGATTTGGTCAAAGACTAGCAAAAATAAACCCCATTTGGTGAATATATTACTGATTAAAAATAGTAACATTGATGAATTAACGGTGTTGGCGTGCTGTTGTAGCTGTGATGATCCAGGAATGACATCACCCACAACATTCCTTGTCTCTCATATCTTTTATTGGACCAGCTGCATGGTTGGGGTTGATGTAGACAAGCTTCTGAATATAAAGCATGCTTCCTCAGGTCCCTGATCAAGTCCCATGAATGTCATAACCTTCATGAAATAGTTCATACACAAAATACCGCTGGCTTTACTTCCAATCCGAATGATACAATAGGGGCTAGATTCCATTGCATCTTTTAGGGGACCCAGAGCGATGCTATTCCACCTAATCACGTCCCCGAAACACAGTTAATACAAAAGGTGGCTGGGTTCACCTTCTCCTTGCTTTTGTTTTGTAACCCAGTGTTAATGGTCACATGACAATGTGTTACCAAAGCAGGTGCATACATGGGTTTACACCAGGGGTGGGCAAAGTCCAGATAGGGCCTGTGGCAGACTCCATTTCCAGAAGCCCCTGCCCATGTCACTGCAGCCAGTTATCATGGAGACCTTTGGTGATGCATAGGGGGTGCATGTGGTGCACATGCACCCCCTGAGATCGGCCATGCACTCCCTGGAAGTGCCAGCTGTGAAACCAGAAGTGCCAGCAGCGATTGGCTGCTGAGGGACCACCCCGTCCGGTCAGTGGTTGGCCGCAGGGGGACCCCCCATTATTGGCCATCTGGGCCCACCCCACTCCCCAACTTGGGAGGCACCAGTTGCCCATGATGGAGACCCCAGGAGTGGTGGGGCTGTGACAGCGTTTCCATGGAGACTGGCATGGAGCTGCTCCAGGCAGGGATCTTGTGGCAGTGACAGCATGGTGCAGAGCCAGGGCAGAGGTGTGATCCACTGCTCGTACAGCCCAGGCAAGGGTGCACAGGCAGTGGATCTCAGCTCTGCCCTGGCTCTGGACCATGCTGCCACTGCTGCAAGATCCCAGTCCCAGAGCCGATCCGTGCCCAGCCATGTGCCCCGCCAGTGCTTCTGGGGCTGTTCTCCATGGAAAGCCTGGCCCCGCACCTGGAGGAGCCAGTGCTGCTGCTCCGGGCTGCTCCAGGCACCAAGCTACTCTGATACATCTCTGGCTTTGAGATACCTCTTGCAACTTCATGATCCCAATTACCATTTCTGCTCCTGGGGTCTCCTTGAAAACTGGCTGCAGCAACATGGGCAGGGACTGCTGGGAAGTGGAGTTCAGCTGCTGGCCAGATCCACCATTTTGCCCACCCCTGGTTTACAGGGACTCGAGCAGGGTGGAATAAAATCATACTTAGGTACTTAGGTGCCTAGATGCTGGCCCATTATATCTATGATATTGGGTCCATGGGTGTGTCTGTGCGTGGTCCTGGACATGCAGACTCACTTGTTTGCTTGCTTAGTGTCCTTTATGCCATATAGTATGTGGAGCTTACAAGGAAGTGTCCCCACTCCTTTCTACCAGCTGTTATTCTATCACTGGCCATCATATTCTGAATTTCTTCATGTCCCTCTCAGTTGTTCTCTTTGCACCCTGCTGGTTTCCTTCTACCAGTTGCTTTCCAAAAAATGTTGGTCTGTGGAGGCAGACATGCCTAAGAACATCTGAACTCCAGCAAGCCCAGGGAGAAAAGCCCCATTTCACATCACCGCAGAATTGGCACCATCCTGTTTCTCTGAATTACCAGACTCTTATCAGATGCACTTCACTGTGATGGAAGCAAGCATGTGCAAGTAAACGGCTATCTGCTCTGAGAAAAAATCTAGGAGTGGAAAAGCTGGGTTAGATGAAAAATGAATGTTCTTAATCATTACTGCAACATTCAGTGTGAATCAATGTGTGTGTGTGTCTGTGTTATATACAATACACACAGGGCACGTCTACATGTGCACTTTAATGTGCATTAGCCTATTTTAATGCACATTAAAGTGGCACAGAAAAAAATCATGCGCGTTCACTAATGTGCAGTAAAATAGGGTAATGTGCCTTTCTCTAGTGCCTCACAGTGGAGGTACTAAATATAATGCACATTAGCAAAAGCACATTAATGAATGTGTAGACACATTCACACGTGTGTGTGTGTATGTATGTGTGTATTTGTGTGAACTATTTTTGTACCATTTATTTTCAGCTCACCCTTCTGGGCACCAGCTGGATGCTTGAAAACCTACCGGGAAGCAAATTTTTGTAGCATTAACAGAATTACCCAAAGCAGGAGGTAGTGCCAGTTTCTAGAGAATGTCTTTTCTGATAAAGTTCCAGCTTTGCATATATAACTAACTGGCTGAGTTTCAAACACGCAACCAAACTTTAGGATACCTACCCAAATGAAGAAGAGCATTCAGATCTTTGGGGGATCACCTGGTATTGTGAAAATCTGGATTCCCCTTTCTCCCTCTTCCTCATTGAGATAAAAGCCCCCCAAAGCTATTATGATCATTTAATCTACTTGTGGCAGAGGCTGTCTTTGTTATATGTTTGCACAGCATTCAGCTCAATGGTATCCTGGTCCATGCCGGGGGCTCTTAGGTGCTAGTATAATTGCAAACAATAAATAACAAAAATAGCAACACAAGCTGCCGAATTTCACCCCATAATTCCTTCATCTATCCATTTCCCAGCAACTCTTATACCTCTGCTTTTTGTGCCTTACATGGGAGCTAAGTTGCTGTCTTATATTAGATCTGTAATGTACACTGAAGGTATAAGTTGCTGTCTTATATTAGATCTGTAACGTACAGTGATTTCCTTTAAAGTTTTTTTTGCTGTTGTTGTTTGAGACATAGCAAGTGGGGGTGGGGGGGGGTGAGGGGAAGCAGCACTAGCAATATACATTTTTCAATAGGAAAAAAACCCCCCACACACTGGTACCATGCAACACTTCTTAAAAGTATTGCCAGTCTAAATGTGCAATTAACACCTCCTCAGTTAATTACTGCTTTGCAAACTAGCAGAAAGGAAAAAGTGTAAAATATTCAGAAGAGAAGATGTGCGATGTACACGAATGTTGTCTACAACTTCTGATTAGACTTTGGCATTGTTATTACATCTCTTGATTTTGCAGGATTCAAGCTTTAGCCCCGGAGGAAATACAGTGGGGTTGCCCTACAGTAATATCCTTCTGTGCTCTTTCCCCAGGATATGCACGTTATCAGCACAGACGAGAATCAGGTGTTTGCAGCCGTTCAAGAGTGGAACCAGAACGATACCTACAACCTCTATATATCTGATACCCGGGGGGTCTACTTTACATTGGCCTTGGAGAATGTCAAGAGTAGCCGAGGGCTGGAGGGTAATGTGATGATTGACCTCTATGAGGTATGTCACAAGTGCAAATGACTCACTGCCATCCTGGGTGTTCACGGGATGCCAGGAAAATTGCCTTTGTGAGGAACAAGTCTGGTCTGGCAGAACAAGTGTGAAAAGCTGAGTCATTGGGCATCATCAGGTCATTTTGTGCTTGAGCAGCCCCTTTTATCCAAGGATCTCAATGAGTCTGGTTAAAAAAAAAATAAAAAATCCAGATTTTGTACATTTGTGCAAGTTAGGTGCAGATTGAAAGTGCAAGACGATTCACTGTTGAACTTCCGCGTGTGATCTGGAAGGTGAGTCCATGCCATGCTCATGGAAAGGAGGAATTTTAGCAGCAGTGACGTCGTGGGGGTGTGGGAAAATAATAGCTGCTGCTGCCAACTGGCCAGGCTGACACCCAGGAGCCAGTGCTGCTGCTCCAGGTTGCAACAGGCACCAAGCTGCCCTGATGCATCTTCATGATCCTTAGCTGCTCTGGGGATTGCAATAGCTTCACCCAGAGAGCCTGCCCAAGAGATGCCATCTGTTTGAGCCACTGAGCTGTGTCAAATCACCATAGCTCTGCTGTGCCATGGCCTCACCCCTGAGATATCCCTCCAGACCCCAGATCTTTCCCTTTTTGTTCCAGATGGTGCAAAAAAGGTCTTTGGAGGGTAGTCATCTTCTAATGGGAAAATCTTCAGCTGGAACTGGGCTTTTTAGGGCCCTGTAACACTGCCGTGGTCCTTTCACATGGCATAAGTAGGTTGAATGACACCGAATGCTAACAAGTGTTTGTAAAAACAACGACCTTGTCTCTGTTCTTCCTCTTTCACTCGTGCATATCAGCTTTGCAGGCTGGGTTGTCTCTGAACAAGCCACCTTGGGATGTCCATGTAGAAAGCCCAAGTGGGTGTTATACAAATGCAGGTGAACTGCGGGAGAGCAGACATGACTTCCTGATCATCCTGAGGGTTGTTTTTTTTTTATTATTCATCTATCTGCAGCTTTGGCAGCCCATGGAAAAGCTGTTGCCTCTTATTACTGTCAATTCAAGGAGTGGTTTCGCTGCATTATGTAAAGGTGTCTTACATCTCACGGGGAAAGGAAAGCCTTTGTTTTATTAGGCTGACAGTTCGTTGCAAACTTGGAGTGAAATGGATGTGATCAGACCGGTGGCGCCGTATCTGCTGATTACCTAGAGAGAAAGAATATTGGCTGACACGGGCCCTGGCACCAGCCTTCTTTTCAATTTAAAGCTCTGGCTGGAAGGGAGTTGAAAGCCATCCAGCATGGATCTCCCAGTAGGGCTGCTGCAGAGGATGAATGCTTAGAGGGAAATGGAGATGAAGAAGAGAGAGGAAGAAAATGCAGAGATGAATTAAATAGAGGTAGAAATCATGCAAAGCCAGTGCTCGTGTGGAGACAGCAGCACTTAGGAAAGAGGATGTACTTGCAGCGTGGGTCCTGGGGAGGAGGAGATGGTGTTTGGGATGTCGTGCGGGCTGCGGAAGCTGGTCCGGTGTCAGCGAGGGGTGCGTGCCTAGGCATCTTAGGTCAGCCCCACAGCCTAGATTAATCTACTCCATCAGAGGAACCAGATTGGATCTTATGACGTATTCAAGCCAGGACAAGGGAGCCAGGGCAAGGCAGGGACCAGTCGGTACCTTTCCGAATTTGAATCTGGCTCCTACGCAACTCCCGAGAGCTCTGCCCTACCCCGTATTCAGGCTGGTTGGAGGGGGTTGAATCCAGCCCATGGAAAGTACCTGCTCACACTGATCATTACTGATCTGCTGAGTAGGATAAGAAGAAATATTTTTTATTTGACCAGTAACAGTGGCCTGCTTCTGGTGGGTAGGTGTGGTATAGGGGAGCGGTAAAACTCCCAGTGTCCTGGGGATGGGGTTGGGCATTGCTGGTGTGTATACAGTGTGTGTTAAGTATGTTTTCTGTGCCTCTGGTAGGAGTTGGGGTCTTTTTCTCTTGTTTGTGGCTCTGATGGGAATCAGGTTTATCTAATGTAGGGAATTTAGTACTATATGGAGTCTGTATTCTATGCAGGGCTTGTAGATGGTCCTGGAGTGGGTGTTGTATTTGCCCTGTGCATGTGAGTTGTATGTTCACATGTTCACATAGGATGTCTAATTTTGGGGGCCCCAGTGTAGAAAGTATGTGGACTGATTGGAGAGAACCCAGAGGAGGGCAACGATAATGGTTCAAGAGCTGGGACACATGCCTTACAAGGAGAAGCTGAGGGAGCTGGGCTTATTTAGTCTGCAGAAGAGAAGATGGAGAGGGGATTTAAAAGCAGCCTTCAACTGGGGGGGTTCAAAAGAGGATGGAGCTGGACTGTTCTCAGAGGTGGTAGATGACAGGACAAGGAGCAATGGGCTCAAGCTGCAGCAAGGGACGTTGAGGTTAGGGATTAGGAAAAACTTTTTCACCAAGAGGGTAGTAAAACACTGGAACAGGTCACCCAGAGAGGTGGTGAACTCTCCATCGTTGGAGGTTTTTAAGACCTGGGTAGACAAAGCCTTGGCTGGGATGATCTAGTTGGGGCTGGCCCTGCTTTGAGCATGAGGTTGGACTAGATGTGACCTCCTGAGGTCCCTTCCTACCTAAATTTTTTATGATTCTATGATTCAGTATGTGTCTGCAAGTGTGCACTGCATGTGACATGCTTGTGAAATAGTGTGTGCCTGCATGCACAGAATATAATCCGTCTGTGATTTACGCAGACTTTGCATGCCCTCTCCATATGCTTGTGGTTGTGGTTTGTGTGGAGATAGAGGATATGTGCAGAGCATGTTTCTCCTTGGCATATCTGTAGTTGCACTCAGGATTTGAGGGTTGTGCATGAATGAGTTGTAGAATCAGTTTGGATTGTGCACAGATTTTGTGCAGTATATCTGGAGCGCCTATCTACACCGTGTATGCATCTCCAATGTACGTGGGCATGAAGTGCATGTTCACATATTGATCTCTGTTCAGGTGGTGCATATAGTGGGGATATAAGCAGTGTGCTGCTTATGTGCGCTCCTTGTGAATCTGTACACAATGTGTGAATCTCTCCATGCGGGGCTGTATGTGTTCTGTGTGGGGGTCTTTTCCAGTATAAAGCTGTCCAAAGCTTACAATATAACTTATATTTTGCTTACTCTAGAAAAGACTCTCAGGACACGTCCAGATGTGCACGCATGTGCGGTTTGTGGAGCCTCAAACCTCTTTGCAGCCCCACAAATGGCATGCATTGCACATTAAACCATGCATGACACTGCTCTACTTGCAGTGTGGGGGCAACGTTTGCTATTGGGATTTGCCAATAGCAAAATACAACAAAAAAACAGGAAAAACAGTGACGCAAAACATGCGAAAATAGCGTGCACTGGAACAAATACAGACAAGGGAGCGGGCAACACGAGGAGACAAGGGGAACACCAGCCCAGAGCTGCCTGCTCCCCCATCTCAAGGCACCCCAGCCAGCCACTCAGCATGGGGACTCCTCAGCAAGCAGAGATGTGGGGAGTCGGCAACCCTCTGCCCCAACCAGCCCCCCTCTCCGACCGCAGCACATGGAGCCTGGCCTGGAGCTAGGAGGAGCTGGGCACCACCCACAACAAAGGGCACCTGCATTGGCACATGCTGCAGCACAAAGTAGCAGCACAAATTTGTGTCGCTACTATTCGTGCTCCTGCAAGCGCACACCCCTGATCATCTCGACACAGCCCAAGTCCCAACCCATGCCTGGAACCAAAAAGAAAAATTTGTTTTGAAATCCTCTGAATTTTATCACCAGATGTATAAAAATACTTTTTCATCATTAATGGCCGGCATTTCTCGGGGACTGTAATACACCCCTTTTCAGACATGAACGGAAAAATGGACAAATGGAGCTATTGGCTTGAGCCTGGGTTACCTGAGCTCATGGTACATTTTCAGTCGCAGCTGTTTATACTGTATCACTGGGAGATGCGGCATCTGCTGCCCATTTGGGTGCCTTTCTGCCTCTTCAGGGAAACCCCAGATGATATTTTTGGAAAACAAGCAAGTCAGTTTTAAAGATCACATTTAAAAAACACATATTGTTAGGGGGTTGTTTTAGCAAATAATAATTTTTCTGGTGTTGTTTGGCATCATTTTAAGAACCCGAGTGTGCCCACCTTGCCTACAGCACCAATGCCTTAATATTCATACCAAGAATGAGTAAAGATTTCCATATCTGGCCTTCCTTGAATACTTCCACTGAAGTACTACCTATCGTGAGCAAAAGGATCAGAATCTGGACTTATATGAGGCCCCTCTTCTTTTTTTTTTTCACTTCATCAAGGAATATCTGGCCTTGCATGTTTTGCAAAACAAAGGTGTTTCCAGCTGGATCCCAACATTACTTTGTGTGTTCGTCCCCTTAATAACGCACACGGCACCTTTTCCCAACTGCCAGATGTGTTTGGTTATAGGCAGGTGGGAGTATGGCCCTGTGGGCAATATACAGGCATAAGAATAAAAGGCTTTAGTTCGTAATTCTGGTTTTACTACTGACTTTCCATGGGATCTCAAGGAAGTTCCCTTTGTGCCTTATTTTCTCCCTGCTCAAAATGTGTATCAAATCACCTATATGTGGGGAGTTATAAAGGTTTCTAAAGCAATGATTATGAAGCACTTTGAGGACCTTGGATGAAAGTTGCTCATGAAACGCAGAATAGTCCAACATTACTCTTCTCTATGCAAAACAACACCTGCCATAGTTTCCTCCAAATGGAGAAAGGCAAATGGATGTATTCTGTCTGATTCATCTCTTAAGGGGCTCTCTGGTTACAAAACAATGAGGTTGCCACCTACTACCGTTGCTTATATCATTGCATGCTCTTATGCTCCTGCTAAAGCTTTCTCTCCTATCTATAACTTTTCCAGCCATATTGTTCCTCTATGTTATTTCATTATTGCTCCATAAATTTCTTATTTTGATACCCATTGGTAATTTCTTGCCCTAGAGTTCTTTATGCTGATGTCTCAACTGAGTCCCTGTTGGGTTGGACAGGTAATTACATGCACGCATAGAGAATCTGAGTCAACTTGACATATTTTTCAGCCATGTCAATTTTTCCTAGGTAGCAGGGATAAAGGGAATGTTCTTGGCTAACAAGAAGATTGACAACCAAGTGAAAACTTTCATCACCTACAACAAAGGGAGAGATTGGCATTTGCTACAGGCTCCCGACACTGATCTGAGAGGAAACCCTATTCACTGCCTCCTGGTAAGTTGATGTTTTAGAGTAGGAGGAAACGGGGGGAAAAAATTCCTCTAAGTAATAATGTGATGATGACACCAGCTCTTAAAAATAAATAGGGCATGGATGCATGAAGATACTGTGTGGCACGCAGGATGCTGGGGTACAACGCAACCATGTTTGGGCAGCCAGTGATTTATGCCAACAGCCATATGATGAGCGATCACTGGCAAATGAGTAAGAGTGTCTCCAAGGATCTTAATAGCAAGTCCATAGGTGGCCCTATTATATACGTACATACATATATACATACAGGCATACACATATATATATACACATACATACATAAGGTTTCTGTCCCTGCTTGAAGTATGGGGTGAGTGAGAAATGCGGGGGGAACATGAAGCTGGGAGGCAGAGAGTGAATGGGATGGGGATGCATAATGAAATGGAAGTGGGGAACAAGTGGTGAAGTGAAGGAAGTCAGCCATTGAAGGATAAGATAAAAAGTTTTGAAGAAATTTCAACTCCTCCTTTTTAAATTTACTCCTCTTTCAACAATAATGTAAGGCAACCCAGGGTGAAAGCTTTACTTCAAGCACCATTTGCTGCATGGACGGGAAATAACAGACTGGTTCCATTAGCACAAGGGAAAAATGGGGCAGGGCTGGGAAGGGAAAGGACTGGTATGAAACGATAGGGGGTTATCTCAATCAAATGATAGGGGGTTATTTTTCAATCAAAGTTGAAAGAGGAGTACATTTTTTTAAAAGCCTCGTGTTTTTATGAAGTGGGACTTGGGATTGGGATGTGTGGGGTGCCGGTCATGCCTCCTGGGATGGCTGGGAGTGGTGAGGGAAGGTGTTTCTTGGGAGCTATTGCCCCTGACCCAGGAAGGAAGCCCCAGCTCATGGGGATCCAATATGGCCTCCTACCATGTTTCTTCCCAAAGCCCCTTAGCCACCACTTCTCGCCCCATCTCTGGCCTGCAACTTGCCTAGCTGGCATATTCTCTATGGGCTCTTTGCATGGGGTTGATTCCCAGGGGTGGGAAGGGGAGTTGGCTTGATGCCCAAACTGCCCCTTGGGCACTAGAATTCAGGGGGCAGAAAGTCCACACAGAACAGGAGGGTGAGGGAGGGGACACAGTTTCCTGGCATGCTGGAGGACCATAACTTGGGCAGCTCATTGGTAGGGACTGGCTGTGCATTAATGGAGCACAAGTTGGATGACATGGATCAGAGATAAACCTGCCCTGGAGTGGCATAACTTTAAGCCACCTAAAGTGCGCTTAAAACTAGTTTCAAGTATTCATGCGTGGACAGTCCAGGGGTTAAGAGCTCCAAGAGCTGCCTAAAATTAATGTGTAACAAGGCCCTATGTCTCTGATATCTTAGCGCCTTATTACCTCCCTTCCCTTCCAGGTGGGGCTGATGCTGCTGCCACCCCAGGAACCTGCATGCCTTCCCCAGCCTGCGGCTTGCTCCGGGCACTGGGGAGGGAAAGGGCAAGTGGGGAGGAGCACTGCAGCTGGGTGGGAGCACAGAGCCTGTGCCCATGGGGGCAACGGGAGTGTGAAGCTTGGCTAGTGAAGCAGTATGTGGGTGTGAGGGAGGATGGGAGGCATGGGGACCCCACACATCCTCCCCGCACATGGCTCACAGCCTGTGCTGCCAGCATCAGCAGCCCTCGGGGCACTTCTAGCCCGTGCAGGCCTAGGCATGGATCTGGCCAGTGCTGCACGGTGGGAGTGAGGAGCACAGCCCCACTGTCCGCCGCTCTCACACCAAGCTCTGTGCAGTACCCTTTTACTGGGGAAATCCCAAAGCCGCTGCCTTCCCTGCCCCCGGCCTCAAACCTCTTTGTGGCCCCACCGATGGCATGCATTGCATATTAAACCATGCATGACACTGCTCATTTGCAGCGTGGGGGCAGGTCATGGGAAGCAGGGGGCAGGGACAGCAGCTGGATCCAGCCCGCACGGCTTTCCCTCGGTAACGTGGAGCTGCATGTGGACTGTGCGGAGCCTAGTGCGAGGGTGAAAAGTGCAGCCCCGCTGCCCACCTCTATCGTCATACAGCACTGGCTGGAGACACGAGACATGGGGTGCTGGTGCTTGCACGGGCCCTGAGGGCAGCCACCACTGGTGGCAAAGGCTGTGCACCATGGGGGGCAGTGTGGGAGGGGTCTCCACATACCCCCACCCTCCCTCACACCCCACACACTCTCACTCTGCCCCTACAATCCTCCTCCCACATACACACCCCAACATAACTATTGCCCCCCACCCCACCCCCCACTTCTCCCACCCTCACTCCCCTTTCTTTGAAATGTATTGGGCTTGTCTTGGGCTTGTTTTTAAAGGCAGCATTGCTTTTTTTCTCGTGAGACTTGGCAACACTTCTCCGAGCCCCACTCCCTGCAGGCGGCAGTGCTGGAGTGAGGGGGGGTGGTTCTCGACCAGCCTGGAGCCCACGAGTTTGTTTGCCTAGGGCCCACTACAGGGTTAATCTGACCCTGACAGCTAGGACTCACCACTAGGGGCCTGGTGAGCAGGGGCAAGACTAGGAGCTGTAGCTGGGAGGTGTCATAAAGGTGGGGATGTGAGAGATCCTGGGACACTGGAGGGCTTCCCATCTGTGGGATGGGAGGTGGATGGGGCCATTTGCACCGCCGCCACGGAGGGAAGGACCGGGCCTCCCACAGCTCAGGGCCCTTGGCATGTGCCTAGTTTGCCTATGAATTAATTTGCCCCTGCCAGCTATGCAGGTGGGACAGAGTCTAGAAACGTTCCCTGACTAAGGGTGCGACTGCTCCAAGCTGGCACTAACACCGATCGCAGCGGCTCACAGTGTAAGGTGCAACAAGGCTCAAAGACAGCAAGGGTAGCTGGATCTGGGAATGGCGTATTGCAAGAGTCTGCACGCTAGGTGGGGAGAGCGAGCTATTTGCAGATGTAAGCAGGGCACTGGGGGAGCCTTCAGGAAGACGTCTCTCTACTCTTGCAATGTAGCCATGACTACAGAGACTCCCGTAGTAAAAAGGAGAAGGAGGGGGATTTGCACTGTGTGTTTTAGACGGCGTAAGTTTGTGTGTTGGTCAAGGCATTAGCATTACAATCAAAAACCACTGCAATATGTAGTATGTAATATATATCTAAATAATTAGATGTAAAAATAACGCCAAATTTACATAGGACTCGAAGCAAATCGACTGGAATTGGGCACCTCTTTCAAAACAGCTATAATAGACACGCTCTTGTTGTGTGGCTTGGCTTTTATAATGCGGTATAAGCAGGGAGGTGGCCATTCAACACCTCAGCAGGTAGGGTTATTGGTGTGAGTTGTACCATGAGAGCATTCACATGCTTGGGGGGGTAGGATGCACCATAATGGCTTGTCTCTATGTTAAAATCACCATTTCACTCTCTGTATATGCACTAGCCTCTGTAAGCCCTTTGGGGTAAGGGGCATCCTTTCCTTAGGTGTATGCACAGCACTTAGCACAGTGAGGCTCTCATGTTGACTGGCCTCCCAAAGTACAATTGAGATAACCCCCTATCATTTCATACCAGTCCTTTCCCTTCCCAGCCCTGCCCCATTTTTCCCTTGCACTAATAGAACCAGTCTGTTATTTCCCGTCCATGCAGCAAATGGTGCCTGAAGTAAAGCTTTCACCCTGGGTTGCCTCAACTTACATTATCGTTGAAAAGCAACAGCCTTGCTCCAACCCTGCTATGCCATGGGGCTGGGATTTGGAGCAGCTAGGCCTGCTCTAAGAGCCACTGAAGTCCATGTGAGTCTGTCCATTGATTTCAATGCAATTTGGCTCAGGCCCTTGACGCAGTGAATATTTGTGATTTAGGGTCTCTAGGGTTGGGGAATGGGAAGGAACTTGGCCAACCACTCCCCAAAAGGGAGGGCATATGGGACTTTTTTGTTGCCCCCTGTTTTCTATTCTCTGATGCTCAAGAGGGGAGCAGTTTGCAGGATGCCTGATGCATGGTGTTGAGCCTTAAAGAGCCTTCACATTTTGAATGGAAGAGACAGAGAACAAGGGCCCACAGAAACTTGTGGGCTTCTGATCAGAGGGGACCCTACACATTGCCAGAGAAGGAACCAGAAGAAACCTGAAATAAACTGTTTTACTAGGAGAGATCTCTCCCCCCACCACACCCCCCCCCTGTAATCTTTATAATCTCTCTTCCCTTCCTTAAAGAGCTAGCCGCCAGCTTGCTTGATGTCGCTTACATAAAAACCAGCACCTTTTAGCACGTGGAAGGGGGTCCTGCTTAGCAAATGCACGAGAGAGAGAAAGAGATGCTTTGAATCCTACAAGAGAGATTCAAGATGTTAAAAATGTGTTTTGAGTTGTGGAGCTAATGGCAGTGAGGGAGATAAAGGCAGATTCTGCCATGTGAGCACTCGCAAAATGACAGAATCACAGAAAGCAGAACACAGAGATCAGAGAACAGATATTTTTTTCCAAGCAAAGGCACTGAAAATGTAGCAACGGCCTGGTAAAAAGTCAGGGAACCATAGGGACCATCTGTTCAGAAAGAGCATAGAAATAGGGACTGGGATGGATTAGAGCTGTGCAAATAATGGTTATTTTTGTTTCTGATTGAATCTACATATATTAAAATTTGGTCAACCAGAACAAGTGTGTGTGTGTGTGTGTGTGTGCATGTCTGTGTATAGGGACTATATAGTTGAAAGAGGTTTATATCATATATATATATATTCCGTCATTTAGTTAAGTTTAATATTTTACCTATATGTAATTAAAAGATATAAACCTCTTTCAACTATATATTCTATTCTGTCTAGATGTATATGAATCTCTCTCTCTCTCTGTGTGTGTATATATATGTTTCTGTGTGTGTGTATACCTATAATACATATACATACACATATTATATATATATATGTCTCTAGTATTTGGGCAGCTGAAAGTTGAACTGATGCATTTTGACAATATTGAAATGCAACATTTTACTTCTAAACCAGTATTTTCTGCTTTTTTGAC